TGGGCGCTTCATGCCATTGCACTGAACGCCAATGTGAGTCGCATGTCAAGCAGCTTGCGGATGCTCCTGAGAGCGAGGCATTGCAGACACGTTATTGTTGCACTAAGAAACTTCTACACTGAAAAAAATGATTCATTGGATTTACAAAATTTTTTTAAGGAAAGTGGTTGTAAACAATTTATACGGGCAAACAATTTAAGTTGAACATTACAAGATTTATTTGTTTAAATTCAGCTCATATAAATTGTTTGCAACTACTTACCTTAAAAAAAATGTAGTAAATCCAATGAATAATTTTTCTCAGTGTAGGGCGTTACAACAATAAGCTATCCTCTGCTGCTCTAAAGATCCCTTTACAACTCCACAGCTGTCCAATTTATATGAATGCAGAGGCAATATCTGCAAAACAAAAAAGGGAAAGGGAATATCCACTCTGACCTGCTGCTGGGATGATGGGACAAGGTGTGTGGCTGTATAGCCCAGGGCTGGTAGCCAGAAAATTGCAAGTTTGACCTCCGAGAGAGCCTAACCTTGTGTTATCACTCTTGTGCCCTTGAGCAAGTCAAGTAATTTGCTCCAAAAGGGACAGTTTTTTTGAAAATGAAAATGCTGGCATTATTACACCTGCCAATATATGCTGCCATTTTTTGTAGTCAGACAGAAGGTGTAATTGTTAAATAACGTACATGCTTCTTTTTACGCTTAAAAATAAAATTTATGTAAAGTGTGTATTGCTCTTGCCATTTTTAGAGGGGATAAAAAGTCATACAGATTTGAAATAACGTATGTGTGTGAACTGCACAATAAAATGATAGAGTTTTTGTATAATATTATCTCTTTTGACGTAATTCCGCAATGGTGATGCAAGCTTTTCTCTGTGATTGTTTTAGGAATTCCAGATAATTTGGCTTTGTGGGTATAGACTATAGAATTATCACACTGTAATAGACAAGTGTCTTTATAACTAAATACAGTTGAAGTCAGAATTATTAGCCCTTTGAATTTTTTTTCTTTTTAATTATTTCCCTAATGATGCTTAACAGAGCAAGGAAATTTTCACAGTATGTCTGATAATATTTTTTTTTTCTGGAGAAAGACTTATTTGTTTGATTTCGGCTAGAATAAAAGCAGTTTTTAATTTTTTTAAAACATTTTTAAGGTCAAAATTATTAGCCCCTTAAAGGTATTTTTTTTTCAATAGTATACAAAACAAACCATCGTGATACAATAACTTGCCTAATTACCCCTAACCTGCCTAGTTAACCTAACTAACCTAGTTAAGTCTTTAAATGTCACTTTAAGCTGTGTAGAAGTGTCTTGAAAAATATCTAGTAAAATATTATTTACTGTCATCATGGCAAAAATAAAATAAATCAGTGATTAGAAATGAATTATTAAAACTATTATGTTTAGAAATGGGTTTAAAACAATTTTCACTCCGTTAAACAAAAATTAAGGGAAAAACTAAACAAGGGCTAATAATTCAGGAGGTTTAATAATTATAACTTCAACTGTGTATATAAAAAATAATAAAATAAGACAATTGTTCTACAGCAAAACAAGCTGCTTTCTATAGCTAAAAATCCATGGAAATGAATGAAACTGTAAGTCTTATGCAAATAAGGTTCCAGTAGCCATGTTTCCATGTAAAAATGTGAATTAAACTTATGCACAATGGAATATTGCATAAAACACTGTGAACAAAGCACTGATTCCATCCATTTTTGCCCACATGTGACCCAGATCTGTTTTTGTCTTGACAGTGTGAACAGCCAAACCGCATGAAACCTGATCTTTTCCATTTAGATTTGTGCCACTTTAATATGTAGTATTGTAATGCGACCGCACTGTGAACGGTTATGTAGGATTTCATGTGACTTTTACATCATCTTCGATTGACATGCGTCAACATTCTGTGCTGCAAACATCATATACTCCTCAGCAGCATAGTAAAATAGCACACAGGGCAATTACTTTACCACAGAACGTAAATGCAAAACTGGTGCTTGTTGATCAATCATTAACCTTTTAAAAAATATTGTTCAGTTAGATGCAACAATAAACATGTCCATGCATATATAAAATGAATAGAACTGAAAAAATGAAATATTTGCTGTCACTTAAATAATTAACAGAACCAAACATGAAAGACTGAATAAATCTTTCATCAGGTTAATTCTCTTATCATAAGACCCAAAATTAACAGACTTAAACTTTTTTTTTTTGCTGTTAAAGACATGTAATTGTACTTTTGTGCATGTGGGTTAGTTTAAACCATGATCTGTTGACACTGAAAATCTGATACTGACCACATTTATAACAACAAAGTGAACAGCCATGCAGAAAAATCAGATATAAGAGAAAAATCTGATTTAAGCATGAAGCCTTGCAATGTGAATGTGACAGAAAATTATGACTTCCTAATAAACTGGAGCCAAAAGAAAAACAAAATTTGCTACTTTCGGAGAAGTCAATGTGAGTCTTATTTCCTATATAATAAATTACATTCACCTCAGACAATGAAATGCAATGAACGCCGTGAATTTTAAAGGCTTGAAACCCCTTTTTGGGAGCACAGCCACTAAAGACAATCCTAAGAGCATATAAATTTGATGACAGACTTTTCTGGTTAAGGGATTTTAGAATTGACAAAATTTCTGATATTTTACTATGTCGGTCCTCTGGTTTGTCCATTTAGGACATCCCGTCACACCTATTTTTGTTGTCACATGATCTCATAACAAAACCACATAACCTTTTTAATGCACATACTGGTATTTATTTAGTAAAATGTTATCATAGTTTATGCACATTTTTTTCTTATTGTATAAAAAGTTTATCCTAATAATTTTCAAAATTCATCTTGGTATTTCCATAAAGTATATTTAATAAAATATTCCTATAATGCACTTAAAAATAGGTGAATGGAAACATAGCTAATGGTCATTGGCGACACTGGTGGACATCAAGAGAACTGCAGTTACCAAACTCAACGCTCTGATATACAAACACAACCTCGCACCAATTTACTTTTTTTAATTTAGTGGCTAATTTGTATAAATTCAAATGACTTTTTTCACATTTGGAGTCATTCAATTTTGGACAAATAATACTCCATAAATAATTTTTAATTATTCATTGATTTTCCAGTTTGTAAGATAGATAAATTCATTTTCCTTTGGCTTATTTATCAGGGGTCACCACAGAGGACAGGACCGCCAACTATTCCGGCATATGTTTTACGCAGCTAATGTCCTTACACCCAAGTACTTACTTACTTTTCCCAAGTAATTCCCAAGATTTTTTTTATTATTATTTTTCTTATACTTGTAGCAATATACTGACACTAAAATCAAGATGCCATACACACTGCTGAAAGCGATGTTTGGGTTAATATTTAAATAACTGATGATCACCACCTTTACATCTCAAGAAACTCAAATATGTTTGGAACATGAAGTAAGCAGAAATAATTTTTTGGGGTGAATTATCTCTTTAATTGTCATTGCAGAGAAAATAAGCTCTCAGGAGAGTCCCTTTCATTTTGCTGGCAAAAATCTTTACTTACTAATCTGTTTGCAAGCTTTCATAGACAACCTAGGATGTCAGGGAACATCTTGCTTTGTTGCTGTTGTTATTTGTGGTATCACCAGGTATGGGCTGGTATAGGTTTCTGATGGTATGATAACCATAGATAAAAATATCTTGGTTTTATGACAATGGTAAAGATTTGCTCTTGATATTGTTGGGGACCTTTTCAGACCATATTATTCACAGTCTATATCAGCCTGCTATAACGTTAGACTGTAGATCAAAGCAGGGAAAAAAACAATAGCATTAACGTTACCGTTATTATGATGGACTTATTTGGTAGCGAGTTTATTATTTCTTACTCCTTTGAAAAAAGCTCTATATGTCTATTATTATACATAAGTTAATTATTAATTATAATGTTTTGGAACAGTAAACATGTCAGGCTAAATAATTTCAAATCATTTACTTCTGCTGTCTTCCTTAGTATTAAAAAACATATTTCTATAAGAGACAAAAAAACACACATTAAAAACCCTTAAATATACCTTGGGAACAATATAACAAACATTTTTTGCGGTTTTTAAACCTTGACTTTTCCAAACCGCGGTAAACACGGTTATCATCCCATGCCTTATCATCCCATGCCTAGTTTTAACACACACTGACAGCCAATAGTTGAAAATGATTACATGCATGCCATTTGATAATTGGACCCATGTTATCCATATCAGTTTGGATGGAACCGTCTACTAAATAACTACTTGCTGTTTTAACAAGTGTTTTAATTTGGTTGAAATTACGTGTCTTAAACGGGATGATTTAGGATTTGCAGCAAGCCTCCTGGTCCCATCAGAGCTCTTCACCCGCCTAGAAGCAGCATTTCCATTTTTATGTAAGAGCCTGAGTCAGCTGTTCTGTTTCATTGCAAGTGTGCCTTTATTGCCCTTTACTACCCTGTACTCCTGCCTCTGAGGGAAAAAAGATATTGAATATTTAATGCCAAGAGAGTTGGAGATATTAATCAGTTAAAAATAGTTTTGCTTCACCTAAATGCCACTTTAACTTTAAAATAGAAGAGAATTAAAGAAAGTTTATTTATAAGGTGTATTTAACATTAATGGTGTCATGGCAAATCATATCAGTTGATACCTGCGTACTGCGAAACATGCAAATATTAAATATTATTTGTAAATAATGTCTAAAAATGAGCAGACGTTAGTGTGCCAATGCGCATGCGCGTCACACAGATCCAGGAAAAACAAAACAAAGCCCCCCCGTTTCCTCGACTGCGAGAAACCCTTCATAGCTTTCTTTAACAAGCACGAACTTTGGCTTTATTTCCGTAACCTACAACAATGTATCACATCGCGACTTAAACCGTAAAACACTATGCTGCTTTGGTTTGTCCGCTCATAGCTGCGTTAGCACGGAAACTGAAACACTCGGGCAAATCCACAGCACCATACCTGACACTTTAATGCTCTGCTCCCTTCCAGGCAGCGCTTCCTCCGGCGATATCATTTGCACTTTGGAAGACATTTCTCCCATTCTACTTTGGATAAATTGACGCCAGATCAAACGCACGGAAGTTCGCGCGACCATCAGCACAAAACACGCGGCACGTGTGTAACGATTGCACAAGCGCGTGCTCGTTACTTAACATAACTGTCTGGTTATATATTTATTGTAAACAAGTAAAAAGTCCTTTCTGTCTTAAAGGTATTGCTTGGGGATCAATAAAACTTTGAGCCTGCAGTGTGCTGTTATAATATATATATATATATATATATATATATATATATATATATATATATATATATATATATATATATATATATATATAAACACACACATACATATATAAATGAAGACTTTAGATGCAAAGGCCTCTAAATGCCGTTTGAATTTTTTTCTCTAAAATTAGCATTTTTTTTTCAAGCTCCGGTTTATGTTCAGTAATATCCCTTTTATGGCAAAGAATAAGTAATTTTCCTGGTATTTAAAGGTAAAAATCTCAACACAAACATAAAATAATTTCCGTTTTTGCATCTGAACTCTTCGTATAGCCTTTATAATTTTGTCTTGGAAATTGGTGGTTCATTTCAATCCTAAGACGAAGGAAAATTGATTAATTTGGTGTTGTTGTTTTTTTATACTATATAGGCTAAGCTATACACACTCTATAGTAAGTTTATACATAGTGTGAGTTTATATGCTGTAAAAATAAAAACCTTTCCCGCAGCTGGGATGACGGGGAAAAAAAGCTATAGCCTAAAATAACGATCATTAAATTACAGAAATTTACTGTCAAATAATGACCGTTAAATTGCCGAAATTTACTGTAAAATAATATAAATTACATTACAGAAATTTAACGGAAATTAACATTTAAGAAAGTTTCTGTGCCGTTATTTCATGTTTTTTTTCCAGCACCCCAGCTGCCAAAAAACTATAAAATAATGGATTTTTTATATGCCACATATTACAGCAAATGACGTCCTTTAACATGCTAATATTAAAAAGCTCATTTGTTAAATGGAGATAGTTTATGCTATAGCCATTATGGCCGATATACTTCTCCTGATGTTTATGTGCAACAATTTCTAAACATTTAAAGTATGCTTAACCAAGTCTGTATAGGCATCAGTTAAATGTACACTGTAAAAAAAAAATTTATGTTTTTTTTTCTGGCAGCTGGGGTGGCAGAAAAAAAATTAATAACCATTAAATTGCAGAAATTTGCCGTAAAAAATAAATGGTAAATTGCAGAAATTTACAGCAAATTTAAATTTAAGGAAATTTAAGTTCGATGTTTTTCGGTAAATGCCTGTAACTTAAGACTGTCATTTTATGTTTGTTTTTTTTTCGGCACCCCAGCTGTCAGAAAATGTGAAATAAAAGATTTTTACAGTGTAGCTGCATGTCCACAACATGTCATGAACACTGTAAAAAAATCCATAATTTTACCGTTTTTTTCTGGAAAAAAAAACTTAAAATACCAGCCGTTAAATTACAGAAATTTACTGTAAAATAACGTACATTAAATTACAGACATTTCTTTAAATTTAAATTTCTGGTAAACTTCTGTAATTTAAAGTCTTGTTATTTTACTGTAAATTTCTGTAATTTAACGGCAGTTTATTACCGCAATTTTAGTTTTTTTTTCCTGGCACCCCAGCTGCCGAAAAAAACCCCGTAAAATTACGAATTTATGCTTGTTAATTTAAAAATAATTAAATTACATTTTAACTTTGTTAATTTTTGATGTGTTAATGGTTTGGGGATTGTGTTTATAAAAGCAGATTCACAAATTATATCCTTAAGGAGACATAAAATAATCATAAACATACAGAAAACAGAGCACTGAGTAGACATTTCTTTGTTTAATGCGATGATATTCAGGGGCCCTTGAAGGTGTTGGCTGTCTTCGAGCACTCAGAGACAGTGTCTTTATCCATGTGTCGTCAGCATAAGGGTGGATTGAAAAGCTTTACCATCTGGAGTTCACTCCGTGTCGAATGTGTTTGTTTGAGGCACGCGTGCGGCAGACGACAGTCCTCTAAACTGCAACACAAGAGAGGATCAGGAGACCTCTGCTGACCTCAAAGCAAGTGTATGCGCGGATGCAAACCCCCCACAATACATGCAATGAAAGAAACACTGCACATAGATAGATAGATAGATAGATAGATAGATAGATAGATAGATAGATAGATAGATAGATAGATAGATAGATAGATAGATAGATAGATAGATAGATAGATAGATAGATAGATAGATTGATTGATTGATTGATTGATTGATTGACTGATTGAACAACAGATAGAATGATAGACAGAGAAACGGTACGATATTTAAAAAAAAGGTTCTTCATTGACATTGATGGTTCCATTGAGAACACTTAACATTCTCGAGCCATTCCCCACAAAAGGTTCTAAGCCTAGTTTAAATGGGGTTTATGGATGTTCAAAATATTCTTCAGGCTGAAAAAATAATGGTCGTTCTAAGTACCGTTCAATGAAAGATTATTAGGGGAACCAGAAATGGTACTTGTAAGGCACCACTGCGAAAGCCGTCTTTTGGAAGGATTATTTAGGTCAGTTCAGCATGCATCGATAAAACAGCAACGTATTGCCTTTATTTATCTTTAGTCTACATTGTCATGAACATATTGTAGTCTTTACAACATATTAAAGTGTACTTGAAGTCAACTAGTTTGAATTGAATTAATTAATTTTAATTATTGAATAAAATTCCTTTAAAATCCCCTTGAATAATTCGTAGACTGAGCTGAAATCTACGTTTAGTAAAACACAAAGACCTGCGTATTTTTAATAAAAGCATGAGCGAATGATTTGCATGACTAACCAGATGCGAAATATCAGTGATTTGGGAGCGTTTTCGTGTAGCAATAAAATGAGAAAAATCAGTGTTCGACAATAAATCAATGCGGCATGAGGGATGAGCGTGTGGGGGATGGGACTCAACGCGCAGATGACAGGCCATATGGAGTCGGCCTTGTTTTTTAGACACAATTTGATGAACTAATACTTTCTGAGGGTATAATGAGTTGTTAACAAAATATTTGTTTCAGGTGAAGTAGTTTAAGTCGAAATTTTTACAGTAAATGGCATACGATTAGCTCATTTCTTTAAGGTGCGTTGTGGTTTATTTTGGCTCACGCATTCTGTAGAGTAATGTTTAATTTGGGTTAAATTTAAATGTTAAAAAATAAATTAAATTAAATCGTAATTGTGTTTTTCTGCAGACTGTCATGAACAAGTATGGTAGTTTGCTCAAATTACACATTGACGTGTGAATCAAAATAAAAACACACACACACACACAAAACAATTGTTTTAAATTCACGACAAACTAAAAGAGATATCATGAGAAGTGCAGAAACTATTTTGCAAACGGCTAATGTTTGGTAACCCGACAGATGCCACCTCTTTCCACCAGAGTATAATCCTCTCTGAAGGGAAGGGAACAGAAGAGCAGGACGGAGAGCTTCAGTGTGTGTGATAAACTGGGCTGCTCTCCTCCTCTCTGTCAGATCGCGCTCTGCATCACACCATTTCACATGATGACCGACTCTGCTTACGAGCACCGAAACCCTCTGCTCTGGCTATTTGCTTCTACGCTGCCTTTTCTGCTTTATTTTTTCTGTTATCGTGAAGAAATTTTGAGTGATGCAACACTATAAGCGGAAATGATTTATGTCGCATCCAAGAGCATCAAGGTGCGCAAAAGCGTGCGGAACATTTGATGGGTTTGGAAGGACGCTCTTCTGCAGCGACTGCCTTGTGGACGTTTTCCCCAAACTGGATATATTGACAATTATTATCTTGGTGGACAAAATCCTTTTACTTATGTCCAGCTCCGCAAGGTGTATTTGTGTAAGTTTTTTATTAAATTGATGTGCATTGTTTTTGCTTTTCTTTCTTGTAACAAATTATTAATGTCAACCAAATGCGTCTGTTTTACTAAAGCATGTTTCTTTTTCCTCCTTGTAGCTCGGCTGACTGTAAACGCGTACTGTATCAAATTATGCCAGGCTATATTAATAGGTCCTTTGATTTTCAGACTGAATGGACGTCACTGAATGGATCGCCTAATTAAAATCCAATTTGCGGGGAATTTTCCTTTCTGTGTATGGTGCAAGGTTGGCTTTGACAAATGGTCCCCTCCACGTTTTTTCCCCCAATATTTAGTTTACCCCCTCCAGATGCAGGTGCTTTCAACTGCCCCCACCTTCTAACATATACCCCGCCCGACCCCCCACACGAGGCGGCGGTGTCTCTGGTTTAGTCCCACAGTTTTCCCCCGTCTTTCTTACCTCTGCTGCATTTTGCATGAGCTATCTAGGTCATTAGCATTTTAGCGTATGCAAGAGTTGACAAAGCTGGTGAGGAGCCAGATGGGCCCTCTGCTATTTTTTATATCTCATGGGAGTTGAGTAAGGGACCAACTGCAGCAAGCCACTGAGCGCTTTCTTTTTATTGCCATCACTCGGGCCTTATGTTGCACCAACACATGATGGAGAGATGCGCACCGTGCTGTGGAAATAACGCTTTCGAAAAATAGGTAATGTAAGAAACGGCAACGCTTTTATGTGTGAGGATGCTGTAAGGATGCATGATGCTCTGTGCAGTGTTGGATGCTGCTGATGCTACACCAATCGGAAGAGGACGTAGACATTTTGGTGCAACATCATTGCTGCCTGGTGTGTACAGTATCTGCTGGTTTTGGGGTTGAAAACGGGCCTGCTTTTCTTCGTGTTCACAGCGGACCTTGATTTAAATGTCCATACAATTAAGGCACGCGGTGAATGCCAAGAGAGATGGCAAATATCATCGACGAGTGTGTTTTTAACATCACAACGCAGATAATCCGTGCTTTGCGATGCATGACAGTTGTCTTTCGTATGAACGCGCGTGTGGAGGCGAGCCGACGCATCAATGCGGCCAAAACGATCTTTAATATTGCTGTGTGTTCATCCATAGCTTTGGGTTGCCAAAAGTGCATTTTCTCGAATATTATAGTGTGTCATTTTGAACATTCGAGTTAAAAACACCAACAGTTAACCTTGAGGTCTGACG